ATAATCTTAATTATAAATAAAAACTTACATGACCTTGGCTCACTTTCAACAAATGTTTAGCTTTTAAAAAGAGAACTTCACTGCATCATGAATCTTAAATCTATTTGGGCTTTTAAATTTTAACCCTTCAAGGGACTTGGACTCAAATAATAGAGCACTTATTCTTCAGAAAGCCTGGGGGCTGTTCAAAAGAGCAACCCCATATCTTGTTGTAGCTGAACTGTGGTCGACTGTGAGAAAAATGCCACAGTAGAAATAATTTATGTTGATATCTGACTCTTAGTCTTATCTTAGAAACTCTTTGGGTCATTAACAATTTAATTTTTTTCATAAGATTCTCATATAAAAATTAAAGTTGTTTTTTATTTGAAATTTATTTAAAGAATTTAAGAGAATCTGAGAGTTGTGATTTCCAGAATACTCTGTCAACATGAAGCTGCGCCTTGGTTCATGAAAGTCTTGACTGGACTTCCTAACATTCAGATAAACATAGACCAAGAGGAGACTACCTGTAAAGATCATTGACTTCAGATCCTTTATTATACACTCAAGGGACAAGTGACTTTGACCTGTCCAGATTGAGACAGTAGTAGCAGACGATAACCAGATTTCCTTCCTTAGTGTTCTGCAATGGAATCACAGCAAATCCTGAGGCTCCAACTGGCTGTGAAATCTTCCCATAAAGTGTTGCCTCAGGTGGACATACGAATATTAAATATCAAAAAGGAAGAACAGGTCTAAGATTGGTGTGTACACCATTAAGGGAAAATAAGGAAATCGTTTGTTTTTGCAAACCACCTGCAAAAATAAAAAATTTAACAAAGAAGTTTTGTCTTATTGCGTACTTGCTGAGGCAAATAACCATCGACTATAAAACTTGAGGAAAAGCTTAGTAATATTATTGTTCTAAGTTTAGAATGAAAATTTAAAAACTACACGTTTCTTTTAAAAAGCATCATTATTGTGGATTAAAATTCAATGTAAAGTTCTAAAACTTTATACGAATTAAATAGTCTCTGAAGGTACTCGTTTTTCTTTGGGCCATTTGAATGATACCAGGAAAACATTTCTTGTCCCCAAATTTCTTCTCACTTGTCTACCTGGTGCCTAAAATTTTTGCCTTTGTTTCTGCCTTTAAAATTATTGTGGTGGACAGCTGCAAGGATCTAAGTGATAGAATGGTTTAGTGGCTTGAATTGCTTATTAGTGCTCTAACACAGACGGAATGAGACATAAAATCAGTAAGTTTTGACCGAAGTAGGAAAAAAGAGTACCAACGAAGGGATCTTTGCATCATGGTGAGGCAAAGCAGAAGAAAAAAAATTTTTAAAAATGAGAAGCATTCGTAGAAAGAGTGGTAAAGCTGTCGAAAAATAATATTGCCTGTCTCACAATTTTGTCTAGAGTTTGCTCTGATGGCTAATAATATATAGATGCTTTGATTTTTTTCTTTTTAATAACAACACATTTATAACATTTACAGAGTATTTTATAGATTATCAAGCACAGCCATAACCACGATCTTATTTAAGTGACTTTGTCAGTTAGCCAGTGCAGGTTTTAGTAGTTCCATTTTAGAGACCATAAAATTGAGGCACAGAGTTAAGTGACTTGTCCAAGTTTATATAATCAGTGAGCAGGGAAGCTAAGATGGAGATTTGCATCTTTTGTTTCTGAACCCAGAGTTCTTTTTCCTGTCCTGGATTGAGTAGGGGAAAGCATTTATGCTTCTGACTCAGATTACCTGGGCGTGAACTCGCCATTTTCCTTGCCAGCTGTGTGATCCTGAATATGTTAATAACTGCTCTGAATCCCAGTTCCTTCATCTACAGAAAAGAGAGAATAATAATACCTACCTTTTAGCCTTGTTGTGAGTGTTCTATCAGGTAAAGCAAGCAAAGCAATAAGTTTAATGTCTGGGCATGGTATTCTATGGAGTTATAAATATCTGGAAAAGATACTTACTGTCCCTATTTTATAGAATCTTCCTGCATTTAAAGGTGAAATGATGAATACAGGGCAACTTTCCAGTTAATTCAATGATACAGCGTCTCCTTGGTTTACTTTAATTCTTGAAACTAGCTCCTTTGAAAATGCATGTGAGTGCGTGTGCACATGTGCATGTGCGTGCGAATGCTCTATCCATGTCTTGGGGTACACCCGTACAAATGTATCCACAGGTACCTGTGTGCATGTGTTGGGGGTACTGCAGCAGCTGATTCTCTATGTTCCTAGGCTATGTGGAACCAGACATAGTGATTCAGCATGGAGCATTTGTTGTTGCAGATAACTAAAAAAATGGATCATGACCATAAATCTAACTCAACCAGGTGGGTCCCTAGCTCTGTGACTGAGCTCCAGAAGCACAAGGCTTTGTGCTCTCGAAGTATCTCGATGATACCTGGAGTTCCTAGTCTGGAAGGTTTTGGGCAACTCTCTTTAGTAGACACAGCTATGGACTTAAATCGCATTTATTTTTGGTATATTTTATTTACAATTATTCATTCTTTCTTGAAATATTTTAAAATAGTCTTGATAAAATAATTACATAAAACAATCTTCACTTTTTGTTACATATGGCACAGAATAATTTTACACTTCTTAAATATGTTTCATTGATACACAACTAGCAGGAGCACCCTTTGCCAAAAGCAGTACAGTATCTTAGTTCCATTCGGTTACGGTAGCACTCTAAAAAATGACCATGAGATGGCGCTGTGGCCAAGAGATTATGTTTTAAAATGCGTTTTCCCTAATTATGGCATTTAAACCCTTTCTTTAAATATAGAAGAATCTACTATTCAACTTACAGTAGAGATAGGTTGGTTACTCTATTTTAATAGTACTGAGTAGGACTGAGTTCTTTTATTACAGATCCATAAATCATTCAAGGACTGTGTTTCGCTGGGGTGAAGGGTACATTTAAAAAGCCTCAGTAGTCAGAAAGTCCCCAGACTAAACAAAGGTCCCGAAGATACCATTTTAATTAAGACCATTCAATTATATATAAGGACTATTGTTTTCATAACTCTCATAGACTTATGTTAAAGTCTTCCCATAAAATCAGATCAACTTCCAGTTCATTTAAAGAAGTGATAGTTCTGTTACATTTTAATCTACTTTGACAGCAATAGAAGGTCATAGAAACATTAGAACATGAATTCACATTTAAATCAATATGATACAAACATGCACACATGTATATATTGAGTGTCTTCATAAATGGTTCTTGCTTTTCTTCCATATAAATATATAAATATTGAAGAAAGTGCATGGGAACATGTCTGTACATGTATACAGATACATGTTTGTAATATACACTTCAATAGATACTTATGGAGAGAAAAACATACACGTTTGTAATATATATGTAGTCAAAGACATTTATCAGGCAGTATTTATATTTATTCTGATCAAGATTGAGTGTATGGGCAGAATCTGTAATCTTTTCTCTAATATATAATGAGATGTGCAGAGTTATAAACTAAGGCAAAATACATTACAGCAGAGACTTTTAAATATTTTTATTTTTATCAGTTAGTAGGGTATAATCATTAAAGTAGTTCAGATCAAATTCAGCCTTGATAGTAGTGGCTTACAATAAATTCTAGCTTTGAAATAAACACTTTTCAATATATCTATAGGGATATAATTAGGATAGCCCTAATGCGTTTCCAAATTACATAGTGACACTTCCCATGTTCTTTAGTTTTTGAATCTATAATTTTATTCAAATGGCTTATAGCAAAAAATTATTTCTCATTCAATAGAAATTCTCTAGAATTGTAATCACATATCTAATATCTATTCCAGTAAGAATGTGCAGTTTAATCTAGAGTAATATCATTTATTATCTTTTTTGTTAACAAACTTTTCTACAAAACATTATATTACTGCTTTTTTAAAATTAGGGAGCCCAGTGTAAGTGGATAATAAATGAGCTAGTTTTTAGGGAAGTAGAACAAAACTTTGCTCAAAACTTTGGTAGTCATAAGTTGGGTCCAGGTTGAAGTGCGTATTTCTAAACCAATTGCACATCTTGATCTCAAGTGATATTTCCTACCTTCTGTATTTGGTTGGTATTAACTGGCAACCAGTCAAGAAACTTACTGAGAAAACTACACTCAGAGTTGAAACAAATCAGTGAATGAACCAGGTAAAAAAGAAATAAATTGATTGTCAAAATAAATTTGTAAATATTTTTGACAAGGACCATTCTAATTAGGTCATTTTCTTTAAAGGCAAAGATATCATTTTAACTATTTTTATGTCCTTAGTACCTAGGACATTTCTTCACAGATAGTACACATTCAGTAGATGATTGTGGAACTGAAGCTGAACCATTTCAGTAAATAATATTAATTGATTGCTCTGAAAGCATCAATTTACTGATGGTGCCCAGAGGAAAGTCTCCTCTATTTTACAGAGATGTCCTAAGACTCTATTGCTGTCAGTAGCCAAAAACCTGAGTTTATTTCTCAATCCTGACACAGTTACATCAATACTGCTTACTGCTCAAAGGAGCACATGCACGATGCAGCCATAAAGAGCAGGTTATCAAATGCCTCTATGGTGCTGTTTACGAAAAGCAATTTCTAGAAACGTATTTGGTAATGTTAAATTATCCTTTCGATAGTGTAGCTAGTAGAACAAACACTAAACGAGACCACATTGGAAATTTAGAATAAAGCACATGTAGTAGAAGAGAAAGCAGCAATAGCTACAAAATAACATTTAAAATCTTTTTCACTTCTGAGAATTAACCTGAAATGCAGCAAATGCCAGCAGCTTTGTGAATATTTCACAATGGCATCTATGAAAAAGCAGAAATGAAAAAGTTGTCAAGTATTTCATTCAATTATCTTAGACTTTATAACGCTGTACTTAGTGTCTTTTTGTTGTTGTTCAGAATAAGAGGCCATTCATAGTCAACCAATTTTTCACTATTTTTAGCTATTTTTATTTACAGCAATAGGTAACCAACTCATGCCATCAATTAACAACATAGTAGCAAGGTTTCCACTTGACAATAGAAGTTAATTTAGATTTATTTATGGCCTCATTATAATTATACGATAAAAGCTAATTATTTTAAAGACATATCATTTACAATGTTAAAAATAAGTATCATAAAGCTCACAGCTGAAATGCTGCCAGAGCATTTTTGAAGTGCACATTTTGTGGCATTTAACCCTGCTTTTCACTGACAGAATAAAGTGAGGCATCTAGATATTATTGTTGGTTCCACTAGATTGGCCTAATTTTTTCCAGTCTCCCTATTATCTTTTCATTTTTTCCAGAGACGTGAAAACTCGCTCAGTGTGCCCTCTGTGGTTGCCATGGCAACCAGTCTATCACACACAGCTAACCTTTTCATTTACTGTGTTGATAATATTGTCTATAGGAGCATCTTCTGAATTTTGTTTTCCTAGCGCAACCATAGTGCAGTCATTATCTGTCATCTTGGCATCTTTCTGTGAATTCTTTTTCTGTCCTTTTTGGAGTTGACTAGACTTGTAGGCCAGGGATGGGATAGTGTTCACTAAAATTAACTGCAATGGTTTTTTATTTTCCTTGTACTGACACTGAATATACCGTGAAAAGGCTGACCTATAGGTCTTGTTGAACAGTGTGTACACTAGGGGGTTGACTGCTGAGGAGAGGTAACCGATCCAAACGAACACATTGAGCAGGGCTCCGATGATATCCTCATTGCAGGACTCTTTGCAGATGACGGCCATTATGTTCGTGATGAAGAAGGGGCACCACATCACCACAAACAGAAAGAAGACAATGCCCAGCACCTTGCAAGCTTTTTGCTCATTGCTGATGGACTGCATAGTCCTCCTGCCGTAGGATCCTGGCTCCCTGTGGATGGACCGCTGGAAGAGCTTTTCTGAAGACAGGGAACTCTGAGGGAGGAAGCTGAAAGAAGCTAATTTGGCCCGTGTGCCAAGATCACTCACACACAAATTAGCTTCTTTCTGGAGTGACTTGATAGTTAAAAAGTAGGTGATCACCATGATGGTTAAGGGAATGAAAAAAGACACGAAAGAGCCGATCAGGACAAAGTTATCATCAGCAAGTAAGCAACTTCCTTCCTTAAAGACCTTGGAATCATCCTGTAGTCCAAAGACTGGTATTGGCATGGATATACCTGGAGTTGGACAAAAAATTGAAACTTGATTATTAAGGAATTGAGTATATGAAGGCAAAAGCATTGCTACATAATGGTGGCCATACAAAGGATTTTATGACTACATTGATTTAAAGCTTAACATATACTTTAAATGACAATTTAAAATTCCCTTGAACTTAAAATTCTCTTGAACTTACTTTATATCAGAATTATTTAATAGCTTAACATACACTTTCCAGGAGAATTTAAAATTCTCTTGGACTTACCGATATTATATAGTTGTAAGATATTATATATAATATCATATGAAATTATAATATTTATTTCTAACTTATAGTTGTTCATTAATTATAATAAATACTACTAAATAATACATATTAATTCTAACATATATTAACTATACATAATATAATATATAATTCCTTACACTTATATGTTATATTGCCCTGTATAATCCTTTACTTATAAAGAAGAACAATAAATCTAGCTTTAATTTTTCATGGTATATTTTCTGATTATAACATTATACTTATAAATTGAAGAAAATACACAAAGACAAAGAAACAAAAATAAAAATGACCAATAATGCCACCACCCAGAGGTAATTGCCCAACAACAATACAACGCTGTTTATTTTAGATAAACATACACACACACATCATGCACACACTTTATAAAATTACAAACAATATATATATTTTTAGAAAATTTGAAAAATACAAAAAGGTAACAACGAATAAAGATAAATGATATGTATTTTTGCCAGCCAGGGGTAACCATAATTTATATTTTGTGTAGTTTCTTCTTCCATTTATGTGCATGTATAAGTATATATGTATATGCAGTATTTTATGTGCAGTTTTAGATCTTCTCATTTCATTTAACATTAAATTATGAAAACTGCACATATTTTAAAGTATTTTTTAAAAATATAATTTTCTAATATGGATTTAAAGTAACTTTAAGCAATTTTGATTCTTTTTAAAAAGGTTTTATTATGGAAAAATTCAAATATATGGTAAAGCAAAACAAAACAAAATCTAGCACAACAAACCCATTACCCAACTTCAACAATGATCAACTCAAGGACAATTCTGTTTTATCCACATGTCTACCTGCTGCAAGCCCTCTCATTTTATTTCAAAACAAATCCCAGACATTACATAATTCAATCTCTAAATATTTTATTATATGTTATAGATATTATTATTTATTATATATTAAATATATTATTATATATGCTACACACTCTTAAAAACCTCATAGTGTCACAATACCATTCCTAAATAGAAACTTAATATTTCCTTAATATAATTAAAGATAAAGTCTGTCTTCAAATTTCTAATTGTCTCCAAAAGGTCATTATATATTTTTAGTAGTAGAGCATTCATAAGAGTACATTACAAAATTTTAAGCAGCCACAGACTTTTCTTGAAAAATACAAGAGTTAGGTACAGAATGAGACAATACACGGGAAGATGAGCCCATGGTCAGTTGCTTCATCGCTCACATTTAGGGAACCTGTAAATCTCCCTCAGGCACGGGGCTTAGGCAGAGAAAGCAGCAGAGTAAGTGAAGGCAGCACTTGGCCTCTAATTATGCTAATTTCTCCTCCATGATGCAGGACCTTATTTAAGGGAGACATAACTGGCCACCACCACTCTTTTACAGTTTTGGAGGAGTGGGAGAATCTTCCTCTGGCCTGGGAAAGGCCAAGGCAATCATGTGATTGTCATAAAAGAAGAATCAGGGTGATGGAGAAGAAGAGGAAATACGAATCAAATACTCTGTATAACTTAGTTTAAGGTTGCTTCTTTCACGAAAGAGTAGACGCCACAGGGGCACCTGGGAGAAAGTCAGAACAAACTTCCTAATTTCTGCCCAGATTTTCAGCTCCCTCAGAACAGTGAAACAGGGAGTGTCACTGATTCTGACAGCCCTTTAGAGGCTAATAAGTGGTCACAATCTGGCCAATAACACAGGTTCATTTCAGAGGTGGGGGCTACTGCTTGCTTAACTTTTGGAAAAGCTTCCTTTGAGGATCTATAGTCTGACTTGCGCATTCTCAGAACAGAGCTCAGCTCCATCCGACCATGAACCTGACTGTCCTAACCTCACATTACCTCACTGGCCGTCCTTGCCAGCAGGGGACATTAGCTTGAGTTAAAGTAATGCTTAACACGAATCTTTCTCAGTAATATTTTCCATTGTCTTCATAGTTTTTGTCACTTGTCTACACAAGGCCATCTTGGGAGGTGTAGATAAATGACAACAGAACAGTTCTTAAGGACACTTAGTGTGGTTAATGACTGTTCATTTCCTTCATTCCACTCTGACCCTGGCCTGTTGGAAACATTCTGTGGGCCAAGAAGAGATGAAAGAACTATGGCTCCATGAGGAACATCTTCTGAGACCCTTGATACTCACGAGTTTTGTTTAGCCTTTAGAAAACTCTTGATCGTAAAAGTTAACGCAAGGTTTCTAAACAGAGTGTTTTGTATTCCAAGTGTTTGAACATGTATCTGTGAAAAGTGTTTCCTCTATTTATGTATAAGATCTTTGTTTGACAGTATAGTTGCTCATTGATTAGAAGGGATGCTTTGGAGTGAGACAGACCTGGATTTGAGTCTTGGCCTTGGCTCTGTGCTCCTGGGCCGATTACTTCATCCCTGTAGGCCTCAGTCCCTCATTTATAATACAAGGCTGGCACCCACATGCCCCTATGGATGTGGTGAGGATAAAATGAATCAAACATGTAGTGTACCTAGGACAGTGCTTAGTCCAGAATAAATGTTCTCCCAATGGTAGATAAATATGAGAGTATCTTTCTTGGCAGAATTATTTGGATTGAATACATTAACTTGATTTTTCCTCTAATTTTGTTCTATTTTACTTCATTTGTATATACTAGACTTTAATATATTAAAAAATCTTTAAAACATAATATATAATAGATCTTAAACTAAAAGAAGTTAAAAAACATTTTGGCTATTGGCTATTAGTTAATAATGATGTAATTACTAGCTTCTGTCAAAGTGACAAAGAGACTCAATTAATTTTAATTTCGTACAGCTAAAACTGTTGATTGCTTTTCTAATGTGATGAATTACAGCCATTACTATTAGTCATGACACACATAAACAAAATATCAACTGTCCAAAACAAGGTATATTATTTTATTACTAAACTCTTGGGTGTGCACTTTCCTGATTAATACAAAGGGAGTCTCCATCTCGAGACTCTTTTGCCCTATTTATTTGTGATCCGATGATTCATGTAAGTGGAAATTCTCAATAAATGAAAATATAGGATTACCTAAAACACCAAATTCTTCAATCATTTGGAATTCAGATGAGTGAATGTTCTTGTTTGGGGAGAACGAACACACACACACACACACACACACACACACACACACACACACCCCTCTAGAATGGTTCAACTTCTGTGATCAGGGAGGGAAAGGGCTGATGGACCCATCTCACTGAAGCAGAGATTTCCCCGTCTTAGCTCCCTGAGAAGAAGAGCCACTTGAAAGTGGATGTGGCAAGAGGGCACAGGCAGGCTGTCTAGAAGAGGGACTTTGACTTGGAGGGGGAGAATCAACTAATTAGGTCTTTAAATGGCCCATTCCTCTTTACCTATAACAAAAACATCCTTCTTTTTTAGTGCCTCACTCATAGTAGAGGTCAGCAAGGGTTTGTGACAGTTAAAGCAATACTCTATAAAAGGGGGGAAAGAATTTTACATTAAAGAACTAGAACACTTGGATAGGCTTTGTGAGTACAATAAGCAGTTCCAAAACACGCTCTTACCAAGAGAGATGACGATGCTGGCTGTTATCCAAGGCTGTGGTCACAGCCATATCCAGTGCATTAATTTTCTGGCTGCTTTGTTTGATAATAGCTGCTTTTGGAGACCTGACATCTCCTCTCACTTGAAATTTCTGCATATAAAGCATTTTCCTTCATGAACAAACAGAAAGTAGCTTGAACTACGTGACTTTGCATTTTGTTTTTTGTATTTTTCTGAGGAGTGGAAAACGGCAATCAAAATTCAATATCTGTATTGAACTCTTCATGCATATTTTTACTTCTTTTCATTAAAGCTCAGACAATGAAATGAATGGGAAACATTGACACCCAGAAAAACACAGGCTTTGGATGCTGTCTTTCTTTTAAGGGGTCCCCGCTTATTCTTTGCACATAAATTTTGCATCTCTGGTTAACATTTGACTGCACAGTCTGGGTATATGATCTTAACTCTGAAGTACTGGCTGTGAAAGATGAGCTTTATTTTTAATCCTAGATTTTTAGACTTTAATATCTTGGAACCGAAGATACTTCTGAGACTGTTTCCTTGGTATATAAGAAGGTCACTTTACTATGTAGCGATCCTCTGGTAGGGACAGTGGGAGTCCCCATGGCCTCAGGTCTTGTAGGAGGGGAAAAGAAAGAAATACTTCAGGGCTCTTGTGAAAAAGAGTGAATTTTGGTTCATAGGCTTCATTTTCTCTGGAACTACTACCTTTCCTTTGCATTTTAACTCATGCTGAATTTTTTCAAATTGTAAGAATGATTTATTAGCAGTTTGACAGAAAGTGCCACGAGTGAATACTGCAGAAGATTCATCATACTGCAGGGAGAGAGATTGAATATGTAGGGTGACTGGGACTGGGACTCACTATCCTTCTAATATAGACTGTAAAGCTCAGGTGTTATTAAATTCCTCATAATCTATGGTTCGCTGACAAAACAGATGTACATGAAAGTGAGAGCTACTTAAACATGTCAGTTACCCAAGAAATTTTGTTTCTTCTTAGATTAATTCTGAATATCTAATAATAAACCATATTTTTTCAAAATACTTTCACATATATGCAATTATTCTCAATTGACTTTTTTTTTTTTTACAAAATTGTACAATATTACCCACACTACACTAAGAGCAGATAAAAATTTTACTTTACAGAAAAACTGAAACCTAGCAAGCTTAAATGATTTATTTAGAATTGCACA